GTCGCGTGAGTCTTGGGTTTCCAAGAGTTCTTAGGTTTCTTGGAGTACGGGCTGTGTCTTCGTCGCAATATTCGCCATCTGAGGTCAATATAATACGTTGTGGGTTCCTTGTTTGACTTCCATTGCTGTCTAGGGCGGCTATTGCGAGAAGCTATCAGCCACTTGCACCTCTAGTTGAACCTTGGGGTCTGTTCCAAGAAGATGGGTCGCAACAGTTTGTGTACCGGCCTCACGTGGGCGCTAATCAGGTTGTCGTTGCGGCCTGTCTGCCTAGTTGTCAGAGGCGAGGTGAAGGAGGCTGTGTCCGGGTGAGCAGAGTGCAGAGTCTGATATTGTGTAAGTCTGGAGCGAGGTATAAGTGACGAGGTGTGTCAGGAGGCAATTTTCCTGGAGGCCGCTTTTTTACCTCTTTGAAATTCCAACTGAAATCATTTGTATTGGAAGTTATGATCACCTCATCGGGATTTGATGGTCTTCCATCTCTTGTCTTCGTCTCCGCTCAGTTGCTCGGCTCTGTGATACATCTCTCGTCCGCATTTCTTGCTCCCGGCTTCCAAGCAACATTCGTATCAATGACGCACCATTCGTCTTCTCGTCTCTTCATCTCCGATAGATAAATTCAAAAGCGCTCATCCAGCATAAGTCATGCTCCTATCTTGGCGATTCACGGGCGCAACCTAAGGTAGGAGCGATGATCGATGGTTGGTTTGACGCCAAGAGGATGGGTTGAGGCTGTGTTGATGTACCAAGAGCAAATGAGGCAAGAGGACCAGTCAAAGTTGTTGGCGATGCGAATGGCTGTGGCCCAATCATGATGCTTCATCTTATTTCCCTGCGTCCCATGGCCCACCACGGGCGTCCTCTCGTCGAGACTCTACACGCAGAATGCCTCCAGTTTCGGGAGCGTTGCATCCTGGCCAGTACCGATGGCCACTGCGACAAATGTATGCACCGTTATGTACCCCATCCAGTAGGTAGCGCTTGGCAGTGAGGTGTTTAGAGTTCCAGAACGAGCGCTATTGCACCCCAGCCGCTGACGTCGATCTTCAGCTACTCGTCGCTGTCAGTCCTTCGACTATATCAACATTTTATCTGTTGCATATCGCTTTGTCATGCGGTATTCGAGTATGGTGTTGATAATCATTTGCTCGGATGGCTAACCACAGTGGCCCCTGGCCTCTACCTGTTAGCCGCTAAACAAGGCACGATGAAGATTCTGGTGTGTTCTCTAGATGAACCTTAACGTCAGCCAAGTGCCTTCGATCTGCGACGGCTACCGAGGAGGGTTTGACCTGTAGCAATAAGCATGACACGTGCGCTTCGCATGGACTTCCTCCCAGCTGGCCAAGACCGGTAGTTCGAGGATAGGGTGCTCCTTAGTGCCAGGCCCAGACTGTAACTGTATGTAAGGTGAATCGGGGATATGCTCATGGCCTTTGAAGACAGCCAATTACGTCGAACAGAATCCATCAGACGCCAAGGGAGGCTGTGTGCATCTCGGCAAGTAAAAGATTTCCTTAAACTGTACTCAAATTACAGCCTTTGCACATTATTGTTTTTTTTTGGTGCCAACGTACTGGGCCCATTCGAAACTATGGGGAGTAGACGAAGACTCAGTGGAACGATAATCCGGAATCCAGGGATTGCTACATCGCCAACTGACATCGGGGAGTCGGCCCTTTTTCCTACATATCAACACAGAGTGTATCCTGAATAAATGTCTTGCACATGTTGACGATTGTAAATATGGAGATTGGGACTCAGTGGCGATGATCCTGAGATTTGCATGAGATCGCTTCCAGGTCGCTCAACAGGTCGTAATCGCATCCCTAAGCCAAGAGCTTATATTATCCGATATATGCCTCACAATATGATCTCTAATCAAAAGCTTATGATCATTGCATGTAGCCAGGTATGTCAATCACTCCCCTCGAGCCGTCGAACTGACCCACGAAACAATCAGGTTCTATACACGGACGCGCGAGGGGAACCATCGATTTCACTTCACACCGCAATAGCTTTAGTCAGATATCTAAGCCTCGCTCAATGACGTTGTCGTGGAGCGCCGACGCCAATTTGCTTCATAGGGCGAGCGTCAAGAATACATGGCATATTCCAATAGGATCTGGTTTGCATCGAATTATTCGGTCTAAGTGGAATTTGAGGATGACTTAGAGACCTGTCAGCTTAATGAAGTACCCGAACACGACAGGAAATGAGTGTGTTTGTGTCTGAATGGTTATTCCCTGTAATTTGTATGTGCCTCATGGCCTATGCTCGAATGTGCAAATCATAGATGACATGTTGCTATGTAAATCTTCAAAGTCATCAGGCTTATTCAGCGTCGGAAATAAACCAATTGTGAGGCTTACTGGACCTGCCATATCACTTTATCGATCTGCATTCTGCTAGTATGAGATTATTGACATTAAAACAAATATATCCTACAAAACTTGAGAGTCGCCCGAGACGTATTAGATCAGAGTGATCTCGCATCTGGGAGGTGTCTCAAGAAAACTAGAAGGAACCCTCTCGCCGTTTGCCGGCACAAAGCGTAAGATGCTAAGTAATCGCTGACTCTTCCCCCTCGAGGCCGTTTCTAGTAGATGAGCAGGTATATGCACTGCTACCTCCTCAGGGATCTTCTCTGAGACTGTGTCTGCCGAGGTGCTAATTGTGCAAAAGGAGACAGCGGAGCAGCGCAAGAGGAGTAGCATGTGCAGGAAAACAGAACCTGCTAGTGGGATGAACACGTCAAGTTTGCGGGCTTTGAAAGGTCAATACCCGAATCGGAAATGGACGCTACAAGCTAGCCACCAGGTAGAAAGATACGGAAACAGCGTTTGATGGGTAAGGAATCTATGCCACGCTCTCGTTGAATATTTTCAAGACACGATGTGATACGGATGGCATAAGAAACTAAGCCACCATACATCATTTTGACACTGTGAACTTGAAATGTTGGTGAGTCCCCAAAACATGCAAGATTTAGCCAAGCGACAACAGCCTCTACTATAAAGAGCAGTGTTTTTCAGACATGTCGCACCGAAGTCCAGCACATAGATTGAGGTATATTCAAAACCGCACATTTTGGTATTCAGCCACTGCCACCGCATCAATACAGTCTAGGTGGCTTGTCTGGGACGTGCAATCCCAGCAATAACGTTCTGCTCATTGATACAACACTGAGTCGTGCATTTCTGCCGCAACCACCAGCGTCTTCACCGTAATATCATTTGAAGGACGTCGAAAGCTTGTATTTGTCTTAGGAGACCTTGAGATCTCATTGGCGACTGACAGATCGGGTTGACTGCTGGGGCCTTGACAGACTAGAACGAATTCAGTACCTGGCCAGAATCGGGAAAATCGGTACTCAAGCATTCCCAATACCAGGCAACATATTTGAACTGTGAGATCTCTGATGGCACGGCACTTCACTGTCTATGTTGACAGTCTAGCTTCCGACAATGAGCACCCTTTTCCAACAGAGACCGAAGTATGCATTTGCACATCTGAAACCTACCTGACCTTTGTGCAGTGAATAGTATATGGTAACGTCCTGTTTAGCAAGCGATGGATAACATAAGGGTAAAGAAAGTCACGACCTCGAGGTGATGTAGTGTCCATTGCCACCTCCATAGATCATGATATCAAAGAACATGATATGAGTATGACACGCTTATGCTGCTTCAACCATACAAGACCGAGTTTCTTAAGTTTTAGTCGCACCATGTGGTGGATTTGACAAGTCCTCCTCGCCCCCATGCTACCTCAGACTAGGATCTAATGTAGGCAAGGGGGATTGGACGCCGATATCATGTCTAGCTTATTTTAATGGGGCTTACTGAAGAGGAGAGACATGCACATTGCCTAGATGTTGGCGGCAAAAAAAAAGTTTTAAAAAAAAAAAAGAGTGAAAAAGTAGTGGGCTGCGCAGGGATCGAACCTGCATGCATCTGGTACTACTCGAACAGGTTACTCTGACAGTAATGATAGTCCAACAACAGATGCAGCCACCCTGACCAGCCCTTGGAGGATTGTTTTTGAAAAGCAGCTCATTTTTTAGACTTATGTACTTCAAGTTAGGACCGCTCGCCATTGAAGGCGAACAGATGTCATTGGATAAAGCCAAACAAACGCCCACGGGTGACTCACAGATCGGTGAGCACGGGTCAGTAAGCAGTTTATCCACGGCCGATGGCGTTGAACCCATGATCAATGCTTTAACAAGATGCTTCAATAACAAATGCCTGCCATCTGTTCATTTGTTTGATTTGGTCCTACATTTTAGAGTCCTAGGGTCGCTTTGGGCTTTATGTTTGACTATCGCTATAACCCCGAGGCTAGAGGAAAGGAGTTGTCTTCTATTGCCATCCTATGTACTTAATCCCAATCAATTCTTTTCCATTCGCTTTGACTGAATGTACATAGGGATACTTGATGGTTGCTCTGTTTTTACTGATATCAGCGACAACAGCGATCACAAGACTGGAAAGCACATTGGATGAAGAACAAAGATCTAGCTAATCCATGTCGGACAGACAGTGAAACTTTGTATGCCTGCTTGCTGCCCGGTTTTTCGCATCAAGAGGGATCTTTGATCACATGTTCCGCTCTTTGCAAATCATGACAACTTTCCACAGTTACCATCAGCATTGAGAATGCCATTTTAAAAACTGAACCTTGACTCGCCATGGCACGTCTCAGTACAGCCAGACAATGGGTGCCTTGTCCTTGTCGCAGAAAGTATTTGGTTCAAGCCATAGGAAAGAAAAGAAAAATCAAAAGCTTCCTCATTTGAAGATTCTCGCACCCAAAGTGCAGATCCAGGTCAAAATGAGGGGGGAAGGGGAGAAAGAATAGCTATGTCGGCGTCGAGGCTCGAACCTACATCCTTGCGGCATCACAGAGGTGTGTTTTTTGTCAGTCGAGGCAGATTCACCCCCGCCTAGCTCTGCAGGCTGCCAAAAAGCAAAAATAATAATTCAGATCAAAAAAATCATCCTGGCTAGGACTCGAACCTAGATCTGCGCTCCGACGAACCTCCTCTAGTGGTATCCTCCCGGCTGTGAACCGGTCGGACTGGCAGCACAGAGCTGAGGAAGAATTATACCCCGCACGGCGCCGTTCTGCCATTAAACTACCAGGACAGAAACTGAGCTCAGTACAATGGTTTATAAAGCTAGGTCCTAGGCGTCAGTTCATTGGCTGGCTAAGACCAGGGTGGCACGTGCGTTGTGGTTGCGACAGCGACGGCAAAGTTGGTGATCCGATGATTAGTCGGATAAGGATAAGTCGTGAGTGCGCCAGTAGGCAGACTAGGGAGATGTGCATCACTGCGTTTTTACCTGGGCGCTGAAGGGCAAAATGGTAATGCCGGGGGCCAACACTGTACATGAGGTTTGCTGCCCTCACATTTATCGAATATTCTGACATTTCCAGACATTTATTGTCCTTGTCGCAGCATATCCTGCGCCCGTTGAGTCACAATTGACATTTCACCATGTGAAGGCCTACCAACCAGTCACATCCGCTACTCTTCACCTACATTTATGCCTGCCTGATTCACCATTCTTTGCATATGGTTGTGCCGAGAGGTTGCGTTCATGTTCTTGACCTAAACAACGAAAAGACAACAGCACGAAGCTGGTTGTTTCAGTCAGGTTAGTGCTGTCAGACAGCTTTATTACCACCCTGACTTAAGACAAAGGAGGGCCAACATGACAGCTAACTTGTTGTGTATCGGTATGATGATGTACCCTACGAGTAGGCAATCCACATTTAATGCAGAGTTACTGAGATTCGACACGTAGGGGATGAATGATGATAGGGAAAACTGGGGAACAGCGTCTATACAAAACATATGGGCTTGTCCAACATTTGCCCCTGACTTAACGCATTCTCACTCATTCTGAACGGAAGCACTCATTCAAGACTGGGATGATCAATTTATGGGTTCATTGTTTGCTAGACTATGTATACAGTATGACGAAGCCAAGGACATTAACCTCAACAAGACAATCATTGACCCAATCCAAGACAATTTCGTCCCTGTCTACTGATCAACCTGCCTCATCTGCTCAGGTATCAGTGAGTCAATATAAATGTCACTAATCACGAGTTTGATGTCTTTAAAGCAAATAGACATGTTGTATCTAAAGATATCCCATCTATCTCAGCCAAAATCCAATAGGGGGATACGAATGATCACAGATATGATATGTTTCAGGTGTAAACGTCTGTTCTGAATAACAGTTCAATTCGGAGCGATCAAAGGGCCGACTGTTCTTCTAACCGCTGTGCATTCAGCTAAGAATGAGAAACTCCCTCATCTGTTCCACGTGACTCTTTTGCAAGCCCTATGTCCGCCTCATCCAGGCACTCCGTTTTGTTAAAGGAGTTCATCAGCATCACTAATAAGTTGAAAGACTTACCTCTCTTATCAAACTCGCTACTTGCACTAGAGTCGGACTCTTCATGACGCTCATCAGATTCACACACAGTGAGGACATTCGATCAATTTAGGGCAGAGTTTCTACCCCTTTAATCTTAGCTGTATGCCCTGAGGATGATGGGTCCTCCTGGTCTACTCTTATAACATATGAGCACCGCGATCTGGGCACCCGAAACATTATATGAACACAAGAATCTCCCGTTTCCCCGTTGCTACCGATCTATGTAGTATAACTATTGTACATCAGTTCAACTCGCTTGACCGGCTGATTGTACCAACAGAACATCTCGCAGGCATAACTGCTGCTTGAAAGATCGGGAGCCGACTAAGGGACGTCGTCACATGAGTGGAGGAAGGGCTACGAGACTGACTGGATCTCAAGGTGTGACTGTGTCGGCCGAAGATCTGCTCCTTGGCCTTACAAAACTGTTTTCCGGATCATGAGAACGTGGGTATACCATTCTTGCCAAATTGTCGAAGTTTATCTTTCCGACTTGCCACTCGCAAAGTCAAGGTCGGTTGCTGTCGCAAAGGCATGCTTTTGGATTTGCCGGGAGAGATAGTCACTTGTGAGCAGAAGTATCCTTCACATACTCAGGTTAGAGTAGGTACTCATTGAGCAGGTCCAAATATAATGCACAACACATGCTATACATTGTCAAAGAGCACGGAGACAGATGGGAGGAATTTGGATCTTCCGAAACGGGGTATTATAACACTAGGTAGTTCAGTCCACCCTACTAGACTGCCATGCATCCTCCAGACCAAAGGGCACGACAGACAAACCTCGTAACCGAAAAAACAACAAGAGAATCGAGTAGGGAGACTCCGTGAATCGCCATCATAACGAACGCCGCCGCAATTAATCACACATGCCCATCATGCCAACTCGGGAGAGATTAATTAACTACTACAGCCTCGGTCAAAAGCCTATGACTGCTGCTTCTTTCCCTTGTAGAGATATCTACATATGCAATGTTAGTTTACCGAGTTCTCAAAAATTCAGGCAAGAAGTGGAACGTACCTGCCAAAGGCGCTCTCAAATAGACCAACACCAACGGCAATACCAGCACCGATGCCAACGTTTTGCCAAGTAAGGCGGCCACGCTCGTACAGACCGAGAGCTTTGTATCCGAGATAGACGCCGAGACCGGTGACAGCAGCAATATTGGTGACAGCGAGAGCCTTGCTGGTGCCATCATTCATGTTGCCAAAGAACTTGGTGAGGAAGTTGTCAGCCTCACGGGCTTTGTGAGCGCTCTTCTTCTTGGCGAGATCGGCCTCGGCGCGGGCGCGGTCAGCAACGTGCTCAAGCTCGATGCGGGCAGCCTGGGTTTCGGTCTGGACATCCTGCTCGAGGAAGTCGGAGGGGACGGTGCGGACAGAGGGGGTGTCGACATCGATCAGGGACGAGGTGCTAGCCGTCTCGGAAGGGATGATCTGGGGAGGCTGAGGGGCAGCGGCCTATAGGGAAGGACAGGTATTAGTGATGGGACAAAACTGGCATGCGAACTATAGCATATAGCACATCTCAAGCCATAATCGGAAAGAAGGCGCGACATACCTCCTCAGGAGTCTGCTTGGGGCCAGAGGCGGCAACGTCGGCGTAAGACACTATAAACATGGTATGTAAGCGGGCGACTCCAACATCATTCATAGCTGCATGGTCCTGACATACTTGTGATTTGAGGGTATGCTTTCGGAGCAACTGAAAGTTTTGTAAGGTATGGTGGACAAGGTCTCGCAAGCTTCTGAGCCGGCGATACAACCAAGGAGAAGCTGTGACAAGGTCGGCGATAGGTGAGGATGGGGGTAATAGAGAACTGTAGACTCAATGCAAGAGACTAAGCGGTATCAAGGGACGGTGACTGTGAAGCTGCGAGAGAGGTTGTTCGTGGGTTGTGAGTGTTACAACGCGAGAGGGATTTACAGCAGAGACAAAGCTGGAACAAGACAACAAGTCGGAAGTTTGTTCCTGGCTCGCATTACAGTGACGAGATCGCGATGCAGCTGCGGGTCCCGAGTCGCTGAACTGGGCGCTGGCCGGGACATGCGACACCAATCCGCACCCTCTGTTTACCTGCCCATGACGTCAGCCACGCCCACCTTGACCACTCCATCGCCCACTTTCACGCGCAGCTTTCACAGCTTGCAGTCGAGCTCTAGCTCTGCTCCAGTACTAGGGCATCAGGCACAGCTAATGAGGTAGGTTAGATGGATATCATTATAGCTGAATTTGACAATTGCATCCTCGTGCTCAGCTCTGAGTCTGAGTGAGAGTGAGAGCTGACTTAATTGGTAATGATCTGCAGAGCCTCATCAACCTCAACCAAGACCCTCACCCGAGCTCCAGACCATGTGACCGTCCTTCAGTTCTTTCGTTTGAGACCTGGCGCGGCATGACACTCCTTTAACACACACCCGAGCTCTGCATATTACGAAAAAGCCCTCAGACAGGCTCTCCATCTCTATGGCCTACAGACGGTGCCCCTAGTCCTCTTGGAAGCAGCTCGGCAGGGTACTGTAGCTCAGAAGGTTCGAGCATCATCCAAATAACTAAGACGCTTCCTGCCCGGTCATTTCACCACCTTTGATGTGTTATTATCAGCTTTGAATGTCTGCAGAAAGAATGGGTTTCATGAGAGATAGATAAATCTACAGACAGCAATGGATTGACTGCCTGCGAGGTGCCGAAAAGTTTCTTCTGAGACTATCAGTATGTGTACAACCCAACAAGTACGCAATAAATATAATGAAGATATAAAAGGTCTTGTTGAGGCCCAGCCTTTGCTCTTCCAACTCATACAAGTCGCATTCCCATTAGGACTACGAAATAGATATTGTGAAAGATTTCGTTTTTTTATTTCTTCTTCTTTTTGTTATTACATCAAACTGATGATTAGTAGTAGAGAGAGGATCGCCTTTTTACACCAGTCTACCGTTTTTATACACGATATATACAGTGTTTACAGATCTAACACAAAGGACCATGCTCCGCCAGCGCCTCTACTACCCATATAGCATGGGAGTTTCGTCTCTGTGGTATATTTATACATGCACTCCGTCTTTCCCTTTGAAAGTGCTTTCGGTCAAGTTGATGCCGAACCTATTCCTTCTTAGGTGCTGAGGCTGCTCTGGCATCTCTTGCGGGGTCAGCTTCTGGTTCTCCGTTCTCTCGCTGTATGTCTTTGGGCGCAGCTGCCTGTGCAGTCTCAGGAGTAGAGCTCTTCTCTGGAGTTTGGGCGGGACTGCTGTTTTCTGGGATATCTTTCGTTGCGGCAGCTCCCTCGGCAGGGGCTCCTTCCCCACCCTCTTCGTCACCTTCTAGCTCTTCGCCGTAGATTTCGGGGTGTAATCTGAAACAGTCTTGCATGTGCCTGTCCTCGATGTTAGTGCCGATGTCTACGCAATCCGCAATCGTCAATACTGGAACGTACTGGAACTTGTCGATACAGTCAATGCCCTTGGGCTCCTCCTTGGAGTACACGAAGCAGCTGAAGGCAGCCTTGAATTGCTCGCCACATGGGCCGTCGGCCATACCACCAAGGCAGGGGCAATCCCAGTTGATCTCTCCTGTCTCGGGGTTGAAGGCACCTTGTTGGCCAGCCTCCTCCTCTAGACCTTCAAGGCCACCCTCCTGCGGCGGCGGCGCACCGGCGCCCTCTACATCGTTCGCTGGTGCTTGGGGGGAGGTTT